TAAAAAAAATTGAAGTCTCTACCTCTTATATCTTCGGAAATCGACGCGTTCAAGCATACGGACAGACGGACGGACGGACAAACGGACAGACAGACAGACGGACAGACAGACAGACGGACAAGGCAAAATCAACTCAGTTCGTCGCCCTGATCAAGAATATATATACTTTGTGGGRTCTGCCACGCCTCCTTCTGCCTGTTACATACTTTAAACAAAACCATTATACCCTGATTTACCATTGAAAGTGGGTTCAGGGTATAAAAATGCTTTAGCTTTGACTGCCTGACTATCAGCACTGTGTGGAGCGAGAGCGAGAGATTAAAATGTATATCCATCCATATAATTATATATTGTATTTTGAATAACATTGACATTCATTGTTCGATCACTTAGTTTGCGGTTTGTAATTATAAATTAATTAGGGTAAGTAGAGGTAGGCTGGCAACAAAGTCTAGATAATAGAGGTGGTAAACTATCGATGGCACTATCGATATTGAAGCTTCCATTAACAGAAATTGATCCCATCTCACATTGTTATACAACGATATTAACAGCGGATGACCCTGTTATAATTCAAGCTTTTTCCCTAATGTCAAGAAATTTAAGTGGATCATTATGTAAATAAATGAAGAGTAGAAGAAGAAGATGAGACGCTTATTTCATAGAAACTCATAGACTTACCTCGGTCAATATGATGAGACCAAAGACAGCAAAAAACAGAATGACAATGAGGAAACTCATGCTGGATCGCTCTCGACTGCCCCAGTTCTTCTTGCCTCGCTTCATGGTTGGTGTTAACGACGTGCGGCTTCCTTGGCTATGATGCTGATGGGGATGCTGATGCTGATGCTGATGATGGTAGCAGGCGTGGGAGTGGCCGGCGTAGGCCTGCGGATAGGAATGGCCGCTGTGGGAGCTGTTGCTGCTCGATTTTGAGCTGGAGCTGAGATTGATGGCGCTGGCGGAGCCCCCCGATCCCGATGTGAGCGGCTTATAAGCTGGGGGGCTCCTGCTGCCTAACATGACGGAGTGCAGGTGGGTAGCGGATGGTGGGTGAGTGGGTACGTGGTTAGTTCTTGGACACTTGTGGAAATTTGCTTGACTTGGCTTGGCGTGGCGTGGCTTTGTTTGGCTTATGGGTTAACACTTGATCCTAAGTATTTGGCATGGCATGGCGTTTTCTTTACTTATTCTGCGGCAACTGAAAAGGCAAACAAATTTGGCACGCTGTGATGAGCAATAAACACGCGTAGCAAAACAAACCGCGAAAAGAGTGCATGACAACAAAACAGACAGGAAGAGAAAGAGAGTGAGAGAGAGCGAAAGTAAAGGAGAATGAGAGCGTAAGCGCTGCTGCTTGACAGCTTTCCTTGTGTGGCCAATTGAAGAGGAAAAATCAATAAAGAACTGTGCAGCGCTTTTCCTGATTTGTGATTTAAGCTTAACTCAGCTAAATTTAAGCGAACTCCAGTTTCAAGCTTATGTGACTTTTCCTGCCTAAGCTGCAGCTAAGGAAAGGAGCAAAAGCCCATTTCGGCCCATGCTGAGACAAAATGGCCATCAGCAAAAATTCCATTTTGAGCAAGCTCTGGCCTTTGCCTCCACATTTTCATTCTTCACCTTTTTCTAATACATTTCACAGCGCGAATTGTGCACTTAACTACACCGCAGATGAGCCGAAACTTTTCACACTTGACTTTCACTAAGATCTGAGTTATTTCTGCACGCTTTCACTATATTTTCGACTGGCTGGTTATGTCAACTGTCAAAACAGCCAAGTGCGCGCTCTCTCCCTCTCTCTCTCTCTCTCTCTCTCTCTCTCTCTCTCTTTCGCTGAGCCTAGCAAACAGGCTGCAGGACATGCGCAGAGCCTTGACAAGCACAGAAGCAGCTGTTGCTGTTTTCCTGAGAATTTTCACAGCTGATGCTAAATTTAAACAAAAATCTAGAAAAGTCGTTGATGAATTACTAAACCAATTGAATTTACATTCGAAATTAAATTAAAATATTTTCCAAACTATTCTCCATCCATTTTAAATATTTCCTTCAGATCGAAATGTACGAATAGAAATAGGAATGAATATTTAATTATTTTATACAATATATTTGTATATTGTATATTATATTGGGAAAAGCTCTAAAGCAAACAAATCTTTTCTTATACATAATTCACCTAAACAATTTTTAGGACCAGATAGCCCAAACATTTGTATGTAGGCAAGTTTTTGTGCATGTGATAGACATATACATATATTAAAACATTGTATAAATTTAAATATATATGAGTGATTGTAAGTATTTTGGTGCGCAAATGTATGAAGGCAGGAATAAATATGTATTGATATTAATGTATGTATGTATGTATGTTTATTTTCATGCATGCCAACATGTACAAATATGTATTATTTACAATCAACCACAAATTTAATTCAAAGTTCTCAAACTTATTCAAGTGAGCCTAATAAAGTGCAACATTTTTCGACATGTTTTCGAAAAGTACATGAATATTATATTTAATGAAAATTTACAGACCTGAAAACAACATTTATTTCATTCAAATTGAAGCATTCGTTTATGAGATATAATTGTAATAATTTTTTAAAAAATGTAAACTTTTTCAAGTATTTATATTCTTTCTTCTATGTTTGTTTGTATATACAGTGAGTAACATTAATATTCGGTTTTTATATTATTCGACTTCAAACGCCTATAAGACATAAAATGTTAATTGCAATTAAAAAAGTGTGCATTCTAGATTGTATACTGAAAAATAACCTTTACGATGAGGTATATATCAACATACATAGTATATTTAACATGATATTAATGTTACTCACTGTATGTATGTATTTAGATATGTATACTCATGTATGTATATATACATATATGTTAATATTATATTCAATATATTAATATGCATATAAGTATGTTAATTTGAATGCTTTTGTTTACATACATACCTTAAAGTGGGTATTATTAAGAATTTACTGGGTATAACAAAACGAAGGGTACAACAACCATTCAACCGATTCTCAAGTCGAAATTTTCTTTTAAATATATATTCTTATAAAAAAATATATAAAAGACTGATTTATTATAATGTTGTCCTTATTTTACTTTATTGTATTATATTCAAAAATATTATTACAACTTAATGATTTAAATTGTATACCCTTCATGCATTGGCATTGTTTAAGCCTTAAGTTTTATGTATTTAAGTCACATTCTTGAGAAACAACTAAGTTGCTACAAACACACATATGTATGTATATGTAGAGTGCTTCATTTCTATGAGTTTCATATCCGGCCTAGCTTTGGCGCATACATCTTTTGGCCATTTTCAAAGCTCTAAGGATGCAGAGTGCATCCTGCGCTGGCCGTTGTCCCAAAATAGCTCTTGCTCCCCTCTCTCACCAATGTCATTATCAACTTGCTTTTTTTGGAGTTTAGACCGACTGTTGAATGCCTGCCTGTTTGTCTCTGGGCAGCTGCGTCTGCGTCTGTTGAGCTGGACAAAGGAATTAGCGGAAACAATAAAATTCGTAAAGTTTTTGAAAACCAATAAATTTGAAGTGTTTGAATGGGAACAAATTGCAAAAGGCAAAAACGAACTCCATGTGAAAAGTCCAAAGGGCCGAAAACAAGAGGAAGAAACGCCAAATACATACAAGACGAGAGTCTCTCAAACTATCCCCCATCTCTTACTCCAATTCCCTTTTCCATCGCTTTCGCACACTTTGTGAGTGTGTCCGTGTGTGTGTGTGTGTGTGTGTGTGTGCATTCTTATTTGTGTGAAAATCCAGTAAGCAATTGAAAAGTTTTCAAAACAAATATGCAAAGAAAAAGGTGCTCAAGACTGCGACGCCAACGCCAACGCCTCCTAACTGCAGTTGCTACCAAATAGCTAGCCAGAGTCGGAAAAGGAAATGCAGCCAGAGCCATCTTCGTCCTCATCCTCATCGACGTCGACGTCGACCCTGGGCTCTGAGAAAAACAGTTTTGTTTGCTAAACTTTTGTCATTGCGAGTGCAACAATGGCAAAGTAATAGCCAAAGTTATTGCCCAGAGTTACCAGAAACGATCTCGGCCCTCAGCTGCATTCGACTCTCGGCAGTTACAGCCACAGCCACAGCCACAGTCAGAGCCACAGTATTAGATTATGTGATATATCTTTCTAATTTGCTGCGCTAACAGCGCACACACAGATGGCCACAGAGTGTAGCAAATACCACAAATTAACCAATGCAAAACGTTGAAATTCTCAAGGAGACAGTCAGACAAGCTCAACTGATCTAGACGGATGTGTGCAACTAGCAGATTCTCTATACTAAATTGATGTCGCCAGCTCTAAATAATAAAATATTGAAGTTATATTTCAATAAAACCATGAAAGTTTCTGTTGATCAACACGGACTGCACAACACTTGCTCAAAATCCACGCACAAAAGTTTGAATAATAAACTACTTGATAGTTACTATGTCAATGAATACAGACGTTTTCTTTTTAAAAAGCTATAGATCCATAGGATCCATAGATCCATAGGACTCCACCTCAAATAGTTGCCGATATTTTTTATTTTATTATTTTATATTCTATGAATTATAGGCGACTTTTATAGTGATTATATCATGTCAAAGCAATTATAATATTTATGAAGTTAAAGTATAACTAATCCAAAAACATAATATCATCAACACCTTATGAGGAGGTGGTACTATATGCATAAACTATGTGGTCCAATATACCTTCTACAGTTTGTCAACAAATCTTCAAACGGATTCTTTACGTTTATTCTAATTACATTTTATATAAAAAGAAAAGTAAGTAAATCCATTATACAATGACTTCATTTTCACTGAGTACAGTGTATAGAATGGATAGTATGGATGAATCGTGATATATTGAGAGTTCTATGTAGAATTTCCTGCTATTTTCTAATTATTTCCGCGATCCGTTTTCAAAAAAGCCAAATCTGACGAGAAACAAGCTGAAATGGCATCACTCAGCTAAAGTTACTTAAAATACTTTCCTGATCACGAATATTCATGACATATTTTTCTTAATGCAAAAATATATATGTATGAGTTATATATTTATCTGAAAATTATTTCATATTAAATAATATAAGCTCAAAGTAGAACTGTGCTCGATACGTTTAATATCGTTCTTAAATGGGAATTGAATTCGATTTGAAATCCATTCAATTAATTGTTTTGCAAGTGCCTCAGCTTGCATTTCCATTCCGAGCTTTATTAATATTCCTGTCAGATTCTTTTTTTTTTTTTTTTTGCCTGTGTAATCTGTAGATACGAGGAAGGCAAATGGCATAGGTCAGGTATTCTCGGAGTTATGCATAAGAAATCAAGTATAAAATTTGGATAGAGTAAACTTTGATATGTGATTTGAGGTTGGTTGTGAAGT